AGAATGAACCAGCAAGAGAGTATTTTGTCTATTGAAAGCAACTGAGTATCAGTAAGAGAAGAAATTAATTCAAGAGGTGCTCAGTACTGGGCGGGATCAGCCTTCTAAGGCGGAAATTCTGGCTTAACTGTTTTAACGACAGCTTCTTCTCCCCACTGTCATTGCAGTGTTGGCTGAAGCAGGACAGTGCAAAAGGATTGAAATTAACACTTGATAGCACTTTTGCAGAAGTTTGCCATTGTTTACTTAGATGATTGTCAATTTCTCCACCACCTTTGCTTTGACTTGGCTCAGGCAATTTGTGGTGCTAAGGCCTGTGTTTAAGCATACTTGAAAGAATGTTTTCAATCTGAACATCGGGATGTCATAGATTAGACCCAGCTGGAACTAAGAATAGTGCTTCTTGTAAGTGAAACATATTCTAGAGGACACATGCTGTCCTGTTGTTTGGTTTCCTACAATGTGATTCCTCCAGCACAAGAAGGAAGACATTTAATCTGAAATCTTTTAATTTGACCTTACAATCTTAATAGTTAGTGCTTTATAGGAAGTAACTTTTGTATGGGCTTTTATCAACTGTATAAGAAGGTTCTGAAATACATTTTTTGTGTTTTCATAACATAGTCGAACATTAAAATCATTCTTCTGCATCTGCCTCTAGGGTAAACCAGCAAGATAAGCTAGTATGAGAATGGTGGTGGTCTGAGTTTCTTTCTCCTTAATTGCATGTGAGGACAGTGAAATAATCTCTGTCCTTGGATCAGTTTAGAACAAGTTCTCCACTCCACGTTGTTACTGGTACCTTGGGTTCACTCTCATTTTCTTCTTTGGCCCTTAGGCTGCTCACCATCTAAAGAGAAAACAGATGTAAAAAAACAAAACAAAAAAAGGAAAACAAACAAACAAACAAAAATCACAAACAAAGCAACAACAACAAAACAAAAACAAACAAACAAAAAAAACACCAAAAAAAAGAAAAAAAAGCAAAAAAACCCCATAAAGCCAGCAGTGTTCAAGTGCTTGTTCTGTATAGGCAAGGAATGCCCTCTCACCCATGCCACAAAGCAGGGTCTGCTGTCTGATTTTAAGTGCCACTGCTCATCAGCCACATGCACTGGATTTCTGCAAGGATGATTGTTAAGAGGCCAGTCAAAACCATTGCCTAGGCTGATATAGAGTGGGATAGGGATATATGTCCCTGGTGCATCCTTTCAGGCACAGGCAGCCATGTTTTGCCTCTGCTTTCCCCAGGCACCTCTTTCTTGAGCTGGACCTGTGTCTCCTCTCCCCTGTTCTGGATACCCTTCTCCCAGGTCACAGCATGCCTGTTTTCTTACCTGTCAACAACCAGCTCCATGGAGAGAAAAAGTTGCTGATGCTGGCACTTTCCCCACCTGGGAGGTCAAACTCATGTTCTAGATTGCCACGCAACTCCTCAAGTAAGAATGTTTCTGTTTAGAAATCGTGAGGGAGGCTGCTTCCTGAAAGGAGTGGCTGGTTCTTGTTAGCCACCCAGGCTCAGGGCGGGTTTTTTTTTCCTCCGGCGAGTGGCGGGGTGATTAAAGGAGGGCAGCAGGGAAGCGGCGACCCGGAGCGGGCAAACGGGCATGGCACGGTAGTTTGTACGGCAGTTCGCGCAGGCAGGGTAAGCAGGCAAGGTTGCAGGTTTCTTCCTGCTGGAGAGGTTTTTCGTTTGTTGTTTGTGGTGATTGGTTGGTTTGGTTTTGCTCTTTTTGTTGTTGTTCTGGGGTTTTTGTTTGGTTGGTTGATTGGTTTGGTTTTTTTGTTACATCAATGGCAGCAAAAGCTACCTAGTTCAGTTGTAGGAAGGAGGGTATATCTAATATCATGACCTCTGCTGATGGTCTAGCTAAACCCTAGGTGTTTTGTCCCTTTGGTCCTTATTTCCCTGAAGCTGTAGATGTAAACAGGGCTTCTCAGAGCCCACTCTCAATCCTGAACTAACACTCAATAACAAGAGTAATGCCAAATCCAGTGGCAGTCATCTGTGTACCTTTCTGGGAGGCAGCCTGACACCTTTAGTTACAAGATTCTTAGTTTTCAACTCCTAAGGACCGCCTCTCCTTTCACTACACCTTCTTGGACTTTTTCCAGAAAGTCCAGTTTCACATTTTGTTTGCAAGTGTTTTTGGTTTTCTACCAAAAGCATAAAGATGCTTACAAATACCTAGTAAGAGACAGGAATGTGGAGATATCGGTCCTCTGGGGACATTTCCACAAAGAAAAAGACTTTTTTGTCTTCTTTTTTTTTAAACTACTTCTGCCTCTTTTTCCTGTGAGTTTGAGAAAACAAAAACAAAAACAAACAAACAACAAAAAAAGCCACGAAGAAATGTTTAATTACTTCAGTGAGTGTTGGTTAAGGATTGGTTGAAATCTGATTTAAAAATGATAAAAACAGAACAACTAGGTGTATCATCTCTTCCCTGGGAGTGATTGCCCCATCAGACACAAATGTCTTTAGAGGTTCCCTCTCCTGCACTTGGTACTTTTGCTTGTCTTTTCCATCTTCAAATCCTCACTTTCTTCTGTGAGGGCTCTGAGCATTTCTATTTTCTTCCTGAGATTTAAAGTACATGAGGCTTATTTTCTGTGTAAGTAGGCAATGAAGTTAATGTTATTTCCACACCTTTGTTCCAAGCTAGGTGGGATGATGACTTCCTTTTCTAAAACAGTTTTTATTTTTCCTGTTTTCCCTGAAGCTTTTAAGACTTTGAACATGGGATTTGAAGCCTGTGAACTCTTAGACACAAAAACCTGGGTGAATTTGGGGGGGATGTTTCCTGCTTTAAAGCTTGGGAGTCATGTTCTAAAAGAGTAATTTTTTGTAGTGTGTAATAGTAAACTCTGTATTTCTAAGTGCCATTACACCTGAAGGTATTTTATTAAGGTTTCACAGACGACAGTACAATTTAAAAATATCTTGTCAAATTATTCAGATGCTGGCATTTGCATGCAATTGAGGCATATTTTTTTGTAGCCCGCAGCAGTGCTGGCTCCTTGTCCAAAGAATGAACCACATTTTCGCCACTTCTGAAATCGCCATACATAACTCCATGCCTTGAACTTTCCATCTTCTTCAGGAAGTTTTGAGCTTTTTTTCCCGAGTGGGGAGAGGCTGGCGAAAACCCCGTGGGCATCCCGGTGTGAATGCCACTCCCCCTGCCGTGTTTCGGAGGGGACTTCCCGGAGCTCTGGCCCTCCTTCCCACGGGATGGGCAGCCTGCAGGCGGGAGGGCCGGCGGCAGGGAGCGGGACAGCGAGCCCATCGGCTGGGATGGATGATGTGTGAATGGATGCGCTGCCGCCGCGGCAGCCGAGCTCTGCCAAACACTGTCCTCAGGCTCCAGCTCGAGAGGCTGAACTGGACTCCCACCCGCCTGGAGGGTCGGGAGAGAAAACGAAAAGCTCCTTCTGAGAATTACAGGCTATTCTGAGTTGGAAAGAGAGGCACCAGCACCATTGGGTCCGACTTGTCCCACCCGCCCTGCCTCAGAAGAGTTTGTTCCCAGACGCCAAACATGCTCTGTGATGGGGCTCGCTCTCCATTTTCCATTTGTCCCCAAAGGGCTAAGAACCATTTTTTTTTTTTTTCCTCGAGGAAAATGATTCCCCATCCCTGCTATGCTCCCACTTCTAAAAATAGATCATAAATTATGCAAAGAAGGTACAAACTACAGATGAGCTTTTTTTTTTTTTTTGTACTTTAAGTGTTGTTATCAAGAATGAAATAAACGATTTGGCAATTTTTGACTCTGTGTGTATGTGCTTAAATAATGCATATCTACAAAAAGTCCTGGTATCTGACCTGCGTGATTGTGTTGTGTATATCTATATTTATTCATGCAGACACACACACAAAAATTGAAAGCAACGAACAAAGCTGAAATAAATAGCACCACTAAGTAGTGGTGCATGCAGAGCCATTAAATACTCGAACACGAGAAATGAATTATTTTTAAGCCAATCTTTTTCATGTTTTATTACTGAATAATAGCAGGTATTTAATCACACATAAGTGGTATGAACATCGGGTAGATGATAGAAATTGCACAGGAAAAACAGAAAACAGAAACCAAAAGGAGTGCAAAAATCCAGATTTATAACCCAAATCGGTCATTTGTTGTTATTTCCAAATATCTGGTTTAGAGAGCCAGAAAGCTGTCTTTAAAATAAGAAGCTCATTGTCTATATCTTCTGAGCAAATGGGATCTCCAAATGCAAAAAGCTACACAGTAACTAATTGATTGCCAATTGTTTTCTCACACGATTTTCCATAAATACAACTACACAAAATGTTTGTAGTTCCCAAACTGTAATGTTCATCAGCGTTAAAAATTTTACCATTCAATTACTGTTACGCCTTGGTGTTAAAACTGTATGTTGAGTGGGTTGGTGAGGGGAGAAGCTCTGGGGATTAATTAAATTTATAAATTATATGGTTAAAGTGTTCAGTCTTTTCAAGTGCAACAACATAAAAGGATCTCAAGAAATGACTAAAATACAAAGATTTGCAGGGCAGTGAGCAAGCCAGTAAGGGAAATATAGCGTTCTCACTTATCTAAGCAGCTTTATTGTAAAAAAAAGAAAAAAAAAAGAGGAAAAGGTGAACATTTACTTTTTTTCCCTCCCCACTAGAGCACAAAAGGACCGTCTGGTGCTTGTGCTCTGACTGCCGAAGAGTATGAGAGGGAGAAGCAGGAGCGCTAGTCTTGATTGTGTTCTGGATCTTTTTCCTCTTTTTCTCAGGAAATAGAGAAAATCTCGGCGCGTGTCTTCTCGCAGAAGCGGGAGCCGGAAGGGCACGGGAGGAGCCCTGGAGGTAACGGGACAAAGGAGCACTCTTGCCAGCAGCAGACGGACATCGGGAGCGCCGCCATCCGCGATGGCTCGCTGATGACCGGCGGCGGGGATGCTCGCGGGGGAGGTGGGCTGCAGGGGGCGAGGGGACAAGGACCCGGCGGGACGGCCGGGGACGGTCAGCGCGCAGCCTTCTCGGCGGCCCCCCCGGCTCCCGGCAGGGGCAGAGGGTCGCGCAGGTACCGCCCCACCGCTCCGTGCGGGCCCCCCGCTGCCACGTCGAGGGGCAGGCGGCCGCGGCCGTCGGGGATGTCGAGGCGCGCCCCGGCCCGGTGCAGCGCCGCCAGCGTCTCCAGAAAGCCGGCGCGGGCCGCGTCGTGCACCGGGAGGCAGCCGGTGCGCGGGTCGGGGCGGTTGGGGTCGGCTCCGTGCCGCAGCAGCAGCTCGGCCACCCGCGGGCTGCCCAGCATCATCACCTGCGGGGAGAGACAGCGTCAGCGCCCGCCACAGAGCCCCGAGCACCGACGGGCGCCGCCGCCGCCGAGAGCCCGGGGGGCAGCCGGGGCTGGCGGCGGCCGGACCGGCTTCTCTTTTGGGAAGTAATTCTGCTGTGTCGGCTCCTTGTATTCGCATACATTGTGACAGCCGTTTGCGACTATCAGTGCGGATCCCTTCCAACTCGAGATAGTCTATGATTAGATGATAAATTAAAAATATTAGCTAGTGGTTTCCAGACTAGGTATAACACATGTGTGTGTTCTGCTTCACATTTATATAATTTATATAATTTATATAATTTATATAATTTATATAATTTATATACATCATGGTATAAATGGTACTTGTGGTGTGTGTATAAGCACATATATGTACACACACACGTTTATACACAGATACAGACCAGCTCTGTGTGTGTATAGATATATGCACACAATACAGACACCGTTTATGTAATTATATAATAAATAGTGCATGTACCTATATTATAAATATATTTAGACATACACATATATAAAAATATATTAAATATATTTATACACATGAAGAGTTTGTAAATATTTGTATGCTATTATACACAGCATGTATTTTGTGGCAGTAAAGGACCTGAGGGATCTTGCATTAAGGCTGTCGTCACTTAGAATGCATTATCGATTAATCAACGGTCAGCACAGCAATGGGAAAATGCAGCTGGCTGTGGCTCCTTTCGGCATTCGGTGTGGATATTTAAAATTTTCCCTTCCTGAGTTTCGGACGAAGATGTTTTTTCTTTCTTTTTTTTTTTTCTCTCTCATCTCTGTCTTCTTCTCAGAGGTGTGAGAGCAACTGCTGAGCACTCACAAGCAATGCACAAAAGTTAACTGATGGAAGATTCCGAATGATAATGTCTAAATGGCAAATTCCTAATGACAGTCTGCTTTTCTGCCAGTAGCAGAAAAAAAACTTCTGGCAATATTTGACCATACGCAACTGAACAAAACCCACAAAAAAACCCCAATCAACCAAAAACCAAAAGAAATTTGTACATGCGGTTTTACTTCCCTTACTGTCCTGGTAATTTTCAGTGGAATTTTAACCACCATAAATTGTGACTTAATACTATGAAAAATATCTTAAGACAATAGGGTTTTCTATCAATTGCTATCTCTGGACTTTGGTTTGTCCACTTCAAATAATTTGGTTTATTTATAATACAAGTGTGAAATACTTATGAATGTCACAATATCTAAATTCCCGATATTAATCTTTTCCAGAAAGAAAAAGAGGGTCCACACAGTCGAGTGTCAGCCATTTTGCAAGTTCCTGACAAGAGAAAGAGAACTCAGTCTGAAATGGGGAAAGGAAAGAGATAATTTATAAGAGTTTGGAGATTCTTTTCATCTGCAATTTGAACGTAAAATGGAAGTAGCATGAATAACTTTCTGAGAGCTTTTCTCGGTAATACACTTCAGAAAAATATTTCTGAATATTTAATTAATGTAAAGTGCAAGGACCAAAATAGCTGTTCAGCTTAGCTGAACATTAGATTAATCATCAAATATATCTCTTTAAATAATAACTCGAAAAATCTTCCTGAGATACACAACTCTAATTTAAATCACAGAATATTAATCGTTCAATGAACATTTTTAAAGTATCTACTTAAGTATGTCGATAAATGTAACACATTTTTAACTCTCAAACTGCCTGGAAAGCAACTCTACATGCTGGTACTTCTAACATCTATCAATAAGTACTGCCACTATTGATTGATAGCGGATGTTAAAATTGCTACTACTAAAAGAAAAAAAATGAGGTGACTACTAATATATACCTAGTTTCAAGTAACAATTTTTATCAGCACAGTTTCTAGGTTCTTTGCTCATGAATGTACTAGAAAGGGACCCCACTTCGATTTCCTTGGGGAAAAAAAGACCTGTTCGGGCTATATTTAAAAAATCAAGAAATTTGCTCGAGGTGCACATCATTCCCCAAACCTATCTGGATAGGTTATCTGGAAGCGGATTTTGCAGTCCAACTTCTCCTTTAGACTATCTCCTAGAAAAATTCGTTTGCTGCCAGCGGTTCCCCACTAGTCTCCATCTTGTGCTTATAGGGCGGCTGGATTTAGTAAAAAATAAAGGTCACGTTTGAATTCAGACAGCTGCGGCTGGAGTACGGTTCCGATCATAGCGATAAAAAATCATTCTAAACACGAAATGCCCACCCTTTCCCGCCAACGTGGCAAAGCACAGCTTCCCCCCTGCCCCCCCTCCCCACCCAGCGTACGCCGTACCTGGAGCGGGGTTCTCCCAAAGCAGTTGGTCCCGTTGGGATCCACGCCTACTTGCAGCAGCCTCCTCACCTCTTCGTGGTCCCCGCGGGCGGCGGCGCTGCACAGGCGGTCGCCGTCGCTCCGGGGGGACCCCTCCATCGCCCCCCGCCGACCTGAGCCGCACGGCCGCCGCTGGCTTTCCCTCTCCCCTGGCTGCGATCTCTCCCGTCGCTGCGACCCAGCTCGTCGCTGTCACCCAGCTCCTCCTTTCCCGGGGGCAGCACCCCCCGCCTCGCACCCGCTCCCCCTCCCGCCCCGCCCGTCCCCTCCCCGCTCCGGGCACTCCTCCAGCGGAGCGGCGCTGCGGTGTCCGCGCTCTCTCTGCCCCGGCTTCCAGCGGCTGAGGGAAATGCGCGCACCCGCCCGGGGCGAGGGGCACCGGCAGGGCGGCCAAGGACCGCGGGGTGGCGGCAGCCTGGTCCCCAAGCACGGCACCTCGGAGGGCAGCCCGGTCTCATCCCCGCCTCAAGCACGGGGGTTCTCTCGGGGCTTTTCTCCCACCGGGAGAGGGGGTGGGGGCGGCGGCCTTGCGCCCCCAACCCCTCCCCACATCGGGCCGGGCTACGAAGGCGGGGGCGCGGGGCGCAGACCCACGGGCAAACAGCTTCTACGGCAGCTGCCTCGGGCGGGGCAGGTGGGTCGGCGACATGACCAGGGGACGGACGACCTGAACTTTCCTGGGACACTCTGTGCGAGTGATGGCTCTAGTTTCTGTCTCTGAAAGGGGTCCTGCCCTGCCCGAGCCCATCCGAGCGGTGGGTCGGGGGTCCATCCCTCCGTCCTGTGCCTGCCGAGAGCTGGCAGACCGGGTGAGGAAGGGAGCCGTGCCCGCAGCGAGTCTGCGCCCAACCTAATGGCAGCGCATAGAAGAAGAGGATCGCTTCAGCCGAGCCCTGCCAGAGCCTCCCGGGAATAGGAAAACCGCGGCGAGAGCCCAGCAGGGTAAGGTGCAGCTCCAGCCGCGCAGCCAGAGGCTAGGCAGAAGAATCTCGCCTTGCAGCTATGAAAGATCCTCAAAATCCAAGCATCTGCTCCTCCCCTTGGCTTTCCGCCAGGCGACTCCCGCTGCAGGCCCAGACGCACGCCTGCACACACCCCCCCGGCCCAAGAGACCCCCCCGGGCCGCCGAGTGGGAGCGGGTGGTCGGCACCCACGACCTGCGCCGTGAAGTTCTTATTCTGCTACCTCGAAGTTCCTGCCTCTTACAAAGGAGGCAGGGGGAATAAGGGTGTTTTTCAGGGTTTTGTTTTCCCTTTTTTTTTTGTTTGTCCTTTCCTTTTTTTCCCTTCACCCCCTCCACCCCCCGCCCCCCGCCCAGTGTCAGTTCCCTAATCTCCTTTTTTTTTTATTTGCGGCCGGTGCCACGCCGTAGAAGTATGCGCTGTGCAGATACAACCCCCGAAGAGCTCTGCATCGCTAAAAGAGAAACGGTGATTATGTCTACATTTACTATTAGCCAAAAGCAGAGACATCCTCGGATGAGGAGAAATAAACACAGATTTATCCCTGAGTAGACAAGTCAGAGGTTCACTAAAATGTCTTAGTTTAGTGGCTCTTGGAGCCTCCCTTGCGAAGTTTCTGGGGCAAGTGGCATTGCAGGATCAGGGTCCAAAATCTGAGGCGACATCCTCGCTTGCCAGGGACCGGTGGTGAACTCCCACCACATCGTGTTTTTTCTACAATGCATGGTGCAAAGCAGCCCTCGGGACAGATAGGCAGTTTAAAACAAACAAATAAATAAATAAATTTAAAAAAATTAAAAAATAATAAATAGTGTTTAAAGACTGGATTTTTAGAAGTCTGTAAAGTCTAAGAAAGTAAGATTATCTCCCACCCAAAAGGCAAAGTATCTTCCAGTTCTTCTTGTGTGCTCTGACATTAATGATAGCCACACAGAGATAAATCCAAGGAGAAAACCTCATTGGTTATGTCTGTCAGGTGTCTTAAAATTTCAAATCGGTAGTGATGCACGGCAAGGTTGCAGGTATCACTGCCTAGCCTTGTTTTCTGTGAAATAGTATTGATCATGGATTTTATGCATCTGTATGTGTAAGTACAGGAATACATATCTTTTTCTGAGTATATAAGCATAAAAATATGTGGGAGTCAATGACCTTAATTAAAGGTCTTTTCCAACCCAGTTAATTCTGTGAAGAAAAAAAAAATGCACACTGACATGTCAATGTGTTTGCAAATAAAGATGTCACTTCAAGTCAGAGGGCCTGTCTGTATCTCCATCTCCATCTCCACTATATTATGTTAAAAGCTAATAGTGTAAAACAACAAATACTGTCCCATTAGTATGTCCCAACATTATCGACCCCCCAATTCACTTATCAAACTACTAGAACGTTTTTAACTCACAACATTTCAAATTACATGATTGAAATAATGGGATTTCTTCCCCCTCTAAAAGCAAATCTTATATTATACAATTCTAGTACCAACAAAAGACCTCAAATTAATCAAAACATAACAATACAGAGTCATATCTGAAGTTAGGGTAATAATAATACAGCCTATGCTACTGTGTTTTGAGAAAGAACCTTATATTGCACTTGTATCTCGGGGGGAGGGAAGAGAATCCACCTTTTCCCCCCAGCAAACCTTACTGCAAAGATATTTTCATTAAAAATATCTTTTTTGCAGTATAAAAGTAAAAAA